TATATATATATATATATATTGCTCGATTCCCTAGAATAGAAATCATACACAGTTTAGTCTAAATTTAAGCACCATTTAGAAACGGCTACAGTTCACGTCTACTTCATAATCAGACAAGCAACAGTCGCACATAGATTAATTCTAACGATGAAGTTGCAAATTTAAAAGAAAAAAACACGAACTATTTCTCGGGTTTTTTTTTTTAACAAAAAAAAAAACGTGATTATGAACAGAGAATTATAACGAACTGAATAGCAGTCAGAAATTGTCCTAATCTACCTGGTTAGTATGGTTTGTGAATGATGCAGAGACAGATTTCGTTCCACTTACCTGAAGTCCCACTGGGGGGTGGGGAAGTGGTGAAACTCGCAACGCACGGATAAAGCCAAGATTATTTCATGAATAGTGAAAGCACCTGAGAGAATTTCTGCTTTCCTCCCTCTCTCTTTCTCTCTCTCTCTCTCTCTCCCACTCTTCAGCCTGTGACCAGCATCAAGGAAAAAAAAAATAACAATCAAAAAAGAATCTAACGTCTCTTTATTTATTTGTGAGGTGTTTGTATGGCGGCAGCACTGGTGCTAATGTACAATTGAGTGAATGTTTTCAGCACCACGGTCAGCGCAACTTTATTGTATATACCCTCGGCGGACCACGTGATCCTCCCCACCGCCACCCCCCAGCTGCAGGCAGTGCTGACGTCACTTCCATTGATAAGAATGTTGGTGTGGAGATGGCACTGTGAGTCTAGGCTGGCCCCAGCTGATGAATGAACGGAAATGGCATGAATGAAATAGTACTTTTCCTCAATGAAAGGAGCAAATTGTAGAGATAGAGCTGGTACACAGCCATTTTCCTTCTCACATATTAAAGGGTGGTGTGTTGCATCTTCCTCCCTTGTTGCTTCCTTCCTTTGCTCTGGCTTGTTTCAGAATCAGGAGAAGAGTGGGAGGGGAAAAAAATAGAGTGACCTCTTTCACAGGCTATCAATTAGGGTCATTTGGTGACATTCTCCCAAGAATCAATGACAAGAGGCTGCAGTTTGCTTGTTGGTTTTGGTCTTAGGTGGCCCCGGATCATCTGTAGCTCATGGGCTACGGTGGGAGCAGCCGCACTTTGCTGCTTGATTTCTTCTCAATTTTCAGGGATTGCACAATTTTCTACCCACCCCGTCATTTCTAGCCACTCTTCATCTGTCAGCGGCTCAGTGTGCTCTTAATGTGGCCTCTCATCAGCATTGTTCTGCGCCAAGGAGACACGAGCCAATGACCATTTGTACATAAATCAGTAACATTTCACGATAAGGGCAAACACGTGCTGAAGCAATATGTCATGATTATATGCATGAATGAATGCGGGATGTATCATGAATTCCTGCTGTTCACCATTTCAGGAATGATTAAGTGGCTGTGTGTTTATGTGATCAGGAAATTAACTTCATACATTAATTTAGTTGATACCGTTAAATTAGCTGGAATGCAGTTGCATGCAACAAAAACCCACGCGTCCGATGGGCCTCTGAAAGTGGAGCCCATATGCATTTTCATAAAAACACAAGGCTATTTTGTGACACTGAGAAGCGAAGACACCTACGTGTTGCTGTAAGATCCGGCAGTCTTTGTTCACGTCACAGGATGGCGAGGTGTTTTAACGTGATATGTTTCTGTTGTTGAAGTGGAGCTTGCTCCAGCACATACAGCCAGTGCCAGTGGACAAATCGCTGTAGAATGGACAGACTTGGTTTTTGGGATGATGATTCAGTGAGATGAACTAATATCTTACAAAAAATGGAAGGAAATCGCTTAGTCCCAGGAATTCAGTACAGTTCAGAAATGGCTACAAAGTGCAGCCGTCACAAAGACAAGAGCAGTTTGACAAAGATGACAAGAAGAACAGATATTTATATACTCGATGTGTCCTGCATGGGCGTGTTTTTCTCGTGGCATTCGCAAGATATAAATGTGCAACAAATTTCTCACTAGCACAACACCCCATGACAATATATAGTGCTCCGTTTGTGAGAAAATACAAAATGCAGTTTTTAAATGATGATTTTATTTCTTAAGAGAAAGAGAGTTGTGTGAAAAAGTAATTCCATCTCCATACTTGTTAAACCAAGAATTAACTGTGATTAACCACTTTTCCCTCTCTTTTTTTTCACTTTTACTAACCACACCCAGGCCTGATTACTGCCAGCCCTGCTGAATTAAGAAATCACTTAAATAGAACATTTCTGACAAAGTGAAGTAGACTAAAAGATGTCAAGAAAGCAGCACATCAAGATCGAAAGAAACTGAGGAACTTTCCATTAATCAGTATAGAAAGGGTTACAAAACCATTTCTAACCCTTTAGGAATTCAGCAAACTGTAATGAGAGCCTTTTCCTTCGGGATCAATAACGTATTCTGATTCTGATTCATGGTGAATATTCCCAAGAGTGTCCAGCCTACCAGAATTACTCCAAGGGTGCATCCATGACACATCCAGGAGGTCACAAAAGAACCCAGAACAACATCTAAGGGACTGCAGACCTGACTTGCCTCAGTTAAGGTCAGAGTTCATGATTCAACAGTAAGAAATGCACAAGGCTAAAATGGCCCAGTGTGGCTGAATTGAAACAATTCTGCAGAGAACACTGAGCAAAGACTCCTCCACAGCGATGTGATAGACTCATTCACAGTTACTGCAAATGCTTGGTTGCAGTTCTTGCTGCCTAAAATTAGTTTGATGATCTGAAACTTGTAAGTGTGACAAATATGCACATACACTAAGAAATCAGAAAGCCAAACCACTGTGCATACAACAGAGATCTCAAGATCATGTCAAAACAGAGTAAGTTTAAACACTACAGAAAATAAACATGTTTTGTTTTGTTTTTTACCGCTAGCAACAATTTTCATCCACACAACTGTCATTGTGGAGGACTTGTGGTGAGAAAAATGTAGAGACGTGTGCGCTGCTATATTTAGATGACCTGCGGCACAAAAATGCACAACACGAGGACTGATACCGCACTCTATTAGTAGCAATCAAGAAGGCAATCACAAGGAAGTGGTGTGAAGAGGACCACCCTACTCTGGGTAACTGACCGCACGTAGCTGAAAAGATGTACACTTTGAAGGGCTCTCACTTGTTTTGTTTTTTGGGCCACTGTGAATCATGTGAAGTCTGCAGAAGTTACACTGATGCAGTTTGGCCTCTGCGCCAAAACAGTTTAGGGCTCTTCCTACTATAGGCGAGAGCACAGATCTGACAGGGGCCTTTTCAAAGTGTAACTGGATCCGGGCTAATTTGGTGGCATATGTATAAAGCTACATTCATTAACTGATGATTCATTCAAGGTTAACTAATCACATAAACCTCTCAAAAGTGACCAACAGGGTGTCATGAGACAATCTGCATTAATGCACGACTTATTAAACGATAATGACTCGTGCATTAGTTAAGCACACTGCACTCTTAGCAAAAAAGCTTTCCATTATCAATACTAAAACAAGAAGAGGCGTAGCATTGCAGCACTGTCTCCCAAAAGGTTTAAACCTCACTACCTCTGCCTGAAACATGAGGATAAGAATCAAAGCTCTGTTAGGGTAAACAACTCCAGGTGGTAGAGGAAATGTTTGTTCTTTTTTTCCAGCTTCCATTCGACTTTATTTATTACAGAAACAGCTTCCACTTCCACTGTCAACCAGTCATTCCCAAGGTCTGCCGTAATGGGGCGTTTTTGTACATAATGACTCAAGGGCAGATAAATATAAAGTTATTTCTGGCATTCAGTTTTCCTGTTGTTTTGAAGGTAAAGGAAGACACTGCACTGCTATTACTGGCATTTATGTGCCGGATAACGTGGAAACAAGTTGATTCACAACGTTAAGCCAACCTCATTTCCATACACTTCATTTGTCACTGACAAGCCCTTGCTCTGGCCTTGTGCGCCACTAAATTCAGCTGTCAGTCCTCGTACAGGTTGGGTTCTCACTGCATTAAGGCTTGTGCGTGTGTTTATGGGTGTGTTTTCTTTGTATGTGTGTCTGATTCATCCTTGCACTGTACGTTCAGTTAATCACAGACAGGGGTTTGGTATTTTCACTGATGTTCTGAGGTTAATTGGATATTAGCAGCAGATGTCACATGTGGCCAACTTTATCGAGCAATTATCGAGCTTCCTGATTCAAAATGTCTTCGTTATTTTTACAGACAGAGAATTGCAAATATTATTTAGAGTCTTGAAAGTCTTCAGTCCTGTAATTAGCTGAATTTTCTGCTCTTACTCAGAAATTAGTCCTGATCTCCTCCCGATATCTAAACTAATATGGCACAATTTTTTTTACTTTTCATGTCTTTTTTTTAACTAGGTGAGTAATTACTCACAGGGAAGGCTGGAAAAAATAAAGTCAGCGCTTGAATTTAGTAACTTGCCAAACCTCTTTTAGCACCAACCATCAATCTGACATTTCCTGCATGTGCTTAGGGGGACTTATGAGTAGGGTTTTTGAATCACTCGTCACTACAAAAAAAAAAAAAAAAAAGCCCATTTCACTTCCTGAATATTCCCAGCATCTCTTCATTAAACATCTCTGGTCAGGTTATATAAAACAATATCAAGCAGTTTGGTTACGCTTTGAGTTTTTTCCCTAAGGTAGCAGACACCTGGCAGTCAGTAAGGCCCAAATCATTATGCTACCACCATGCTCACAGTTGGGATGAGGTTTTGGTGCTGGTATAAAGTGCAGTGTTTTATGAAATTTAGGAAATTTGTGCAGCAAGTTTTTCTTTGCTTCCTCACATGCAGGGCCAGCCCACGGTTTTATGGGGCCTTGGGCAGAATTTGATTTTGGGCCTCCACCCCCAGCTAAACCCGTTGGCCACATCAACTATACTAGCACGCTTGATTATTTGTGTGTGTGTTGAAAAGGTGTCCAATAAACCAGGAGACAGTGGAACTTACAAACAAGTTAAAAGCAGGTTCAACAGGGTTGAAAGGTAAAGCAGGTCATCTCGTAATATTAAAGTTGATGGTTCAATCCCTGGAGGCTCCAGTCTGCATCCTAAACATGCATGGCCAAAATACTAACCCCTAAGTTGCTCTCCGATGCATCCGTTGGCGTGTGAATGTTAGACATGTTGTATCAAGCACTTTGAGTGCTCAGGTAGAACAGGAAAGCGCTTTATAAGAATCAGTCCATTTTATTTAATTGTTTTTCAAAAGAGCAGAACGACCACAAAGAATTTAACATATGCTTGAATATTTTTCTTTTTTTAACATAACAAATGCAAATGTAAAAACAGACTATATTAATTAATTTGAATGGAATCTAACTAAGTAGAGAGCTAACAATAGTTTGCTTCTGGTTTCCATGCAACATCAGCTCACCACACCTCAGCTGAGCTGAACGCTTGTTTGAAGCTTCTTATTTAACATTATTGTTAGTGAAAGTTCATGATAAACACCTAACATGGACCTTTATTCTTTACGCTTTTTTTGTTTTTCTTTTCTTTTAAGCCTCAGAAGGCTAAATCCTTTTTCAAGAAACACTTGCGACAATCTACTTGCAAACATTTACAGTTTGCGTGAACGTGACCCCAGCTCAGCTCTG